AGAGAGAGAGAGAGAGAGAGAGAGAGAGAGGGAGGAAAAAGGGAAAGGCCATAGTTGCCCCACTTCACCCCAGTCACCCCTTGCTCCATGCCGCTGCCACACTGACTGGCTCGTACCAGCTCTGTCTGCCTCATCAAATTGTCCGGACCAAAATTGCAGGGTGGTGTGGGAGCCACGTCTGTAAATATGGCTGGAAATGTGTCCCAATTTCTTTTTATGGCTTTTGCTGTGTGTCTATCCAGGAATGTTGGGACAACATGTTTAGCCAATGAACAGATGGCCCAAACTAAGCAATAATCAAATGGGCCTTTCAGGCTTGTTGTGTTTGCTAAATAAAAAAAATCATACAGGGATTCAAGTTCAATTGAATCTATCACTCAAAATATTCCTTAAATATCATGCAGTACCATTCAAAAGTTTGGGGTCTGTAAGAAGGCTCTATTTATTTGAACAAAAATCCAGTTAAAACAGTAATGGTGTGAAATATTATTACAATGTGAAATAAATGTAAAATGTAATTTATTACTGTAATGGCAAAGCTGAATTTTCAGCAGCTATTACAATCTTCACTGTCACGCGATCCTTCAGAAATCATTCTAATATGCTGATTTGCTGCTCAAGAAACATTTCTTATTGTTATACATTTTTTAAATGGTTGTACTGCTTAACATTTTTCTGGGTATCTAACTGACCCAAAACCTTTGAACGATAGTGTAAGTATCCTCAGTTTTACTTTAAGCTATGTATTTACTATCCAAAACTAGTGAAAAAATCTAAATGACAGATTTCTTACACGCTGATGAATTGATTGAATTATGGCTCTGTCTTGGGCTGGGTTTCAAATGTTCCAAATAAAGGATGCACCAATATTAAAATTCAGGCTGGTATGGCTGATTATGTTGTTTATGGCCAATGGTAAAATATTATTTAAATTTTAAAAATTGTATCTAAATAAAAATTGTATCTAAAATTTTATCTAAATAAATCAAACACTTAAAAACACAGATTTTAAAAGCTCCAAGTGAATTTATGAATCAAAATTGTATATTTTACAATTTTGTTGTAAATAAATTTAAATATTTCTGTAATATCGATCAATCACCAATATGGTAGTGATATATTGTGCATCCCTTATTCCAAATATACCTATGATGTCCAAAAATGCTTTTGAGCTAGCATCTCACTAGGTTCCGAGACACAAGAGTAGTGTGGAAATTAAAAGAGAGATGATGTGTAAAGGAGCTACTGACCTGCCGGTTCCTCTCATCCATGATCCGTGTGATCTGTATCTTCTTCCGTCCCATCTTGGCGTCCTGCTTGGTCTCTCCGACACTCCGAGAATATCAGAAAAACACGAGAGTTTGTCTGCCTTCACTCCCCTAGCACATTTTACTCCACTCTTTCTTCTCGAGACTTTCTCTCTCACTCTATTTCTTTCTGTGTCTTTTTCTTCAGGTGTCCACACCACGATCTGTGAAACTGAATGAGAGAAGGAAAGAGAAAAAGAAAGAGACAGAGACACACACAGAGACAGAAAGAGAGAAAACACATTTTAAATGTGCAAAACTCAAAAGAGGAGGTATGATGCAGATGAAAGTGACTAAATGCAAAGTGTTCCACTGCCTAATATATGCAGGAAGGATATAAGACTGAGACCCACAATGATTTCTTATCTTCACACCTGCTTCTCTGCAACAGCTGGAGATCGGCCCACTCACATGTATTATTAGTCTCCAAAACGAAAACACTGGATAGTAGATTGGTAATTGTGATGCTAATTCCCCCTATTTTTATATTTAGATTACCACTGTTGATTTCTAAAACTGACTTAATCTTTAACAATCCTAATAGTTCAAATTGTAAAATTGTACTATACATTACAGTGAATGCAATGTAATCTTAATAATGTTGTGATGCCTAAATTCACATTTAGTTTTGTTTTTATTTAGACAAAATATATATATTTTTTATTATTTTATATAATGTAATTCTGACTGTTATCAGCCATAACAAGAAAATAATTATCTGCTTTTTGGTACTGGCCAGGACTTCAATACTCAAACACATCTCTTTACGTACCCTGCAAAAATATCTACTCAATCCTATCTGTCAAACGCTCCAACACAACTTTCTCTCAAGTGTAGACTCCCTAAAACAATCTTTAATAAGCATCATAATGGTGTCCCATGGCTATGTGACAAGCAGTTAACTGAATGAAAGTAAGCAGACTAATAAGCAGAGACGAAAAGCATGCGGATGCTTCCTGCTGACTTCAGGCTTAAAGAGAAGAAAGCCTTAGCAGATAAGCCAATATGACACCAATAAGCGGGTCATAAAGTCATATGTCTGGTTTCAGAATGCACACAGTGCATAATGTCTCTTCAGTCATCTCGTCCTGTTTTCTTTACTCGTTTCCCTCCTTCCCACATATCTCTCTGTCTGCATCTCTCTCTCTGACACAACCTAGGACACAAGCACAAACACCGTGCCTCTGCACAGCATCTCAGGAGACAGCAAGCAGGCCTCATTCTCCCTCTCATAAACCCGGCTGCTGCCAGCTCTCACTCCTAAGATGATTAAGAGTGCACCCAGTCTCGGGCTGACATTAGTTTAAATCCTCTGGGCCAGATGAGGCAATTCACACGTGAGAAAGAGCGTGGAAGCCAAGTCAAGAAGGTTCAGAGCACAGTTTGCCCCCGGGGAGCCCACGAGTCGCTCCCTCTCCCAATTCTGTCCCTGTCTTCCCTTGCTAACCTGCCCACAAAGAGCCGGCTACCTCTCAGAGGAAGCATTCATCATCTCCATCCAGAATGGACACAGATGAACACGTAAATAGAAAATGCCTATGTAACCACGTCTCACATCTGAGAGACGCTGAGGGAGGGCAGAAACTCTCTCCTCCAGAGAGGCCGAAAGAGCGCGACGCGCTTTGTAGCCGCACAATGCCAGCAAAAAGATGTGGAAGTTGATGACCAGGAGGCTGTGAGTGACCCACAGGAAATAAACACTTTAATTACTGACTGAACAGAAACGGGTCTTTAGGTGTCTGCAGGTCTCTATTAGGAGTGAGATCACGCTGTCTGTCCACAGAAGGAAACTCTGACAACAGGCAGGCAAAATCAGACATTTCCCTATACCACATCACGCCAGGCCACTGAGTCCAACACTGTTCTCTCTCAGTCACCATGTCCCCCCAGCAGGAAGGAAAAACAATCAGCTCTTCGTTCGACGCTCATCCTCACGACATGTGCATATTGTTTGTTATGAGTGGCGGGCATATTCAAACTTTCATGATGAAAATGTGTTTAGAAAACCTATACAACAATGGAAGTTTTTCCAGGGTGATTTGAGTAAGGTGAAAGAATGCAGAGTGGATTGACAGAGGGATTATTCATTTATTATTTATTATCATTATTATTATTAATTTAATCACTGAATTTTAAAGATATACACTATTGTTCAAAATTCAGTGTATTTTCAAATGTAATTTATTTCTGTGATGGCAAAGCTGAAATTTCAGCAGCCATAACTCAAGTCTTCAGTGTCACATGATCCTTCAGAAATCATTCTAATATGCAAATTTTTTGATCAATAAAAAAATCATATTATCAATACTGAAAAACCTTCATGGCGGAAATGTGTTTACAAAACCTACAACAATGAGAGTTTTGGGGGATGATTTGTGTTGGGTTGAAACTATGTTGAGTGGATCGACTGCAAATGCATCACAATCTATTCACTGTCGATGAACAACTTTAAACTTGAGAGATTTAAACCGAAGCGTTTATTTGTTCACTTTTTAATCAGTCAAACTGAAATGAAAACATTTGGATTAACCATCCGAAGCTTACAAGCTGCTTGATTGAAAATGTACATGGTTGAAGCTGGGGCTTTATCTGTGTTTGTTGTGTGCATAACAATGCTGTTCTGCTTATCCAAACACAACACAACATAATTACATGTATCCAGGCTTGTAGCTCTAAATCGTATTTGTGAGCTGTCATGCTCGTCTCAGAGACTGCGGGTCCAGAAGCGTAATGCATTGTGTCATGACATTTCTGTCAACTTAACAGACATAGACAAGCTACGGTCCTGCAGCGCAGGCAGGCTGACTGAAGCTCTGAAAGACTTGTGTTGCGCACGCCAGAACGGGACTCTTTTACCTCAAGAGTGTGTTTTGTTGATCGTGAGTCTCTGTTTATTTCTATGAGACATTCTGGCACACTGGTGGAGAGGTGGTGTCTTGTACAGAGATACAGGAGAATGGATGTCATTTGGCCCTGTTTCATAAGGCCTGGTTTCACTCAGGTTGTACATGAGCCTAGACATTTGTTTAGACTATAATGTTAATTTAATATAAAATTACAGAACATGCACAATTATAGAATTAATTAAAATTAATTATATAGACAGAAGTAATCAAAAATATGGGGTTGGTAAGAATTATTTTTATTTTTTTAAGTAGTCTCTTATGGTCACCAAGGCTGCATTTATCAGAAATGCAGTAGATATTTAGCACTTTCACACAGAAAAACAAATGGGAAAAAAAAACAGTCTGGTGTATTCTAGTTCATTATAAACACTTGTTCTCTGATTATCTCACTGTACTGACTGTGTTGATGATATATTGTACATGGCTTATCTGCTACAGTCATATTTATCTGAAGGGAGCAGTGTATCTGATAGAAACACTGTTTGTTTTACACATTTACAGTGAGTGAGAATGTGCACGTGTAAATAATCTCTCCTTCTACCAGCCCTACAGATTCTAGCTTTCGTGACAAACAGGGAGTTTCTTTATGGTCTTTATGAAGAAAAAAGTGCCAAGAGCATGATCATTTAATGCTGTCAATCACAATGCTAATGATACATAAACGGCTGCTTAAACCTCATTCCAATGACAATGCTTCTGGCATCTCTCCTCCCTCACTTCACCTTCATTTCCTATCATTAATCTGGTCCAGGAGAGTGCATTACAGCTCAAGTTGAGTCAAGTCGAGTCAAGTCCCTTCATTCCAGACAGCCAGAATAACCTGTTTACCTCTCAAATCACTTTTAAATGGCTACTGTGCTTGAAAATGAAAATTCTTTCATAATGTACTATGTCTTCTGCAGAACACAAAAAAAGGAATCATTTTGAGGTTCAGACAACAATTGGACCCCATTTACTTTCATTGTTTTACAAAAAAAACAAATGTTTAAATGTCTTTTGTGTTGCACAGAAAAACACATACAGTACACATACAAACACAACAGTCTAATATTTAGCATATCTCAAAATAAATTTACTTGCGATATAAAATGAATAATTTAGACAAAATTGTGTATTAATATGTGAATTTTAATATCAGTTTATCAGTATTGGCCAGAACTTTCATATCAGCGTATCCCTATTAAAGATTACATGAAACTTACATGAAATTGCCTCTCTTGCAGTCACAATTTGTGACTGTGGTCAGTGTTTATTACTGTTTACCTCAGATCAGCATAAAATATACTGTATGTAGTAACCTCATAGCTGAATTCAAAAGCAGAAATCACATCAAAAACACAATCAGCAAAAATAAAATTAAAATAAAAAAACCTGTCTGAGCTGAGTTTATAGAGAAGTAGGGTGAAAGCACTGGGGCTTGCTGGCTGTGGGTGGGATCCACTAAGGGCCTGTTGGATCACACCAGCACTCCAGGACATGGGCAGCAGAGCCAGCAATTCGAAACCACCGCTGATTACATCAGCTCTCCTGAATATTACACACTCTTTCACTGCACACTATCAAGCCAAAAATGAACAGCAGAGAATGTAAAACTATGCGAACATTAAGATAACTGACATATGATGTAATTTGTGGCAACAGTACAGTTCTTGAGTAAAACATTCAATAATATATTTGCAAAAAATGCATTCCAAATGCGCTCTTGATGCGGTGCACCTGGTCAAAAGTTTATCTTGATTTAAACCAGTCCAGCATTTTTGAAAGCTGCTTACCAAACATTTGCAGTGCCTATGATCAATCAGCAGGGAATATGTCTCTATAGGAGCAACTGCCAGGGCCTGACATGAAAATCAATAGGAGTACATGACCCACAGAATGTGCACAGCAAAGCCGATCTCTAGTGAGACATGTCCATGTGCTCACTGCGCTGACCCTGACCTCGCTACACATGGGTCATTCTCTTGCTCACGAACGAACACAGGTGCACATACTGGACAAACACACTCTCTCACACACACTGAAAAAACTTCTCTTGCCTAACATAATATAGGTTTGGTTTCCATGTGAGATATTAAACATCTCACACAGCTCAAGATGTGAAGAGGAGAGGCCCCACCTGACATGCTGACACTCCCTTGTCTTATAAACAAGTTAACTCCCATATCCTTCATACTGCTCGGGAGGATTGTGTATTGTAACTGAGATGATCCCATGATGAGAGGGTCTATATGAATGTAAATGATTGCGTTGTGCATGCGTGTGCGAG